AGAGGAAGGGAATAGTAATGTACAAAGAAAGAAAGAAAGAAAGAAAGAAAGAAAGAAAGAAAGAAAGAAAGAAAGAAAGAAAGAAAGAAAGAAAGAAAGAAAGAAAGGGAAGGTAAAGGAAGGAAGGAAGGAAGGAAGGAAGGAAGGAAGGAAGGAAGGAAGGAAGGAAGGAAGGAAGGAAGGAAGGAAGGAAGATAAAATGTTTAAAAAGAAAGAAGGAGAGAAAAAGAGGAAGGGAATGGTAATGAAGAAAGAAAGAAAGAAAGAAATAAAAAGAAAGAAAGAAAGAAAGAAAGAGAAAGGGAAGGGAAAGGGAGGAAGGAAGGAAGGAAGGAAGGAAGAAAAGAAGGAACAACAGAAGGAACAAAAGAAGGAAAGGAGAAAGCAAGGAAGAAAGGAAGGGAGGGAGGGAGGGAGGGAGGGAGGGAGGGAAGGAAGGAAGGAAGGAAGGAAGGAAGGAAGGAAGGTTAAACGTTTAAAAAGAAAGAAGGAGAGAAAAGGAGGAAGGGAATGGTAATGAAGAAAGAAAGAAAGAAAGAAAGAAAGAAAGAAAGAAAGAAAGAAAGAAAGAAAGAAAGAAAGAAAGAAAGAAAGAAAGAAAGAATATAAGAAATTGCGAGGAAAGAGAAAAAAAATAAATAAATAAAAGAACAGAAAAGAACAGAAAAAAAAAACTAAGAAATGAAAAAACTAAGAAATGAAAAGGAAGGAAAGAAATATTCAGGAAGCATGATTATGACACTACGCTGCTATAAATGAAGTGCTACATGTCCACAAAGTAAACTATGACAGATATTCAAAACACAAACATTTCTTTCATCACCAAAGTGAAGAACACAGCAAAACACCTTTAAAAAGATTTCGATCCTGAGAGAAGCCTGTAAAATATCTCCTGATGTACTGTTAATACAAGCAACCAGCAATTATAAGCACCTAACAGTTCATACATGCATGAACATGCTGCATACAAACAGCCAGAACACACTTTGTGCATTAGTGTCAGACGCTCATTCATTATACACACGAGCTGCTGTTAAAACATCAACGCAGTGAGCAGACCAACATTCAGCCTGCTGAAGGACATTCTGTACAGTAAACCTGCTGTGTGGACACGAGACAATCAGACCAGCGTATACAGCATCAGACCTACCTGAGCTCGAACTCCTCTCTTGCCCTTTTAATGGGAGGGAGCCCCGGGGCTCAAGGATATTACAAGCTCAGGCCTCTCTCCCGGGACAGCATGCTAATTACGCTTTATTGATTATCAGCTAAGTGTGAACTCTTGAAGTTGCTATGGTAACCTCGCACACAATTGAACAACATTTGACGACTTGCTCAGCATTATACACCCCCTAATGGCTCTTTACAAAAATGCATTCGCCAAAAAAATCAGGAATGGCTCTTTGCTGAAAAAAAGGTTCCCGACCCTGATCTAAACAGTCTCAGGGTCAATGCGTGTAAAGATTTTGGACGTCTTCTTCTTGAACACTTTCAATGCTTCCAAACAGTTTGCTGCAGTTATAAAGCGCCCATGTCTTGAGGTAGTTCAGTATGATGCGATTTACCTTCTATGTGCGATCTGATTGGACACGAATCACAGGACTGATTATTCTAATCCCCATAGACAAGAAAAAATAAAGCAGAGACTGCAGGTTGAAGAGAAGTAGTGGAGTAAAAGTACCAATACTGCACTAAAAATGTACTCAAAGGAAAGTACACATCTTTAAAACTACTTAGTAATTTACCAACCCAAGCTCATTCTGGAAACGTAGCCCCGCGGATGTTTCTGGAGGCCGCGATTAGTTTTTTTCGAGCGAACGCTGCCGGGCGGTGTGACGCCGCTCCGCTCCTCCTCTTCGCGCTCGCCGGCCGACAGGCTTTCCTGATGCAACCAGTTTGTCCGCTTAGCTCACAGCGTTGCGTCGGCGGAGCGGAGGCCCAGGGGAAGGAGGAGAAGCCGGGGGGACGATCGCGGGGACGATGACCGGGATCGAGTCCGGGGAACAGCGGTTCCAGAAATCAGGTAACATGAAAAACAGAATCCGAAAAAAAAGGGCGAGAACGCAGGGGGATCCGAAAATGCGGTTGAAATCGAAGACGAGGGCTTTTGCTTTTTTTTTTCTGGACAGCTTTTGCAAACCGCCGCTCGGGTTTAGGGAAGGAGGAGGAGGAGGAGGGAGAGGAGGGCGGCCGGGTCAGCTTTTTACGCGAGAACAGCGCAGGCGCGAACGCAGGCGAAGCGGCCTCTCGTGGATCCGCGAAAACAAAAACCGCTCGAATACGTAACTCCCGGGACGTATCTCGCGGTCCGCAGAAACGTCCGCGGGGCTACGTTTCCACAATGAGCCTGGGTTGCAAATTACAAGTCCAGAGTAAGTCTAAACGATTAATTTGAACATTGTAACTTGTTACTTTACACCACTGAAAATGAGACATGTCAAACAGGGGCGTATTTAACTAATAAGCGAGGTAAGTGGTTGCTTAGTGCTCCATAAAATCAGGGGGCCCCAATAAATATCTAGAAGTATAAATTATACCTATAAACTATACATAACATCATTTTCTGCCATATTTTGCATGGTGAGAGTTAAACAAATACAATTTTAATGTAATTTAATATTTTTTAATATAATCAAATATAATATTATTATAGGGGCGTCCTGTTGGCGTAGCACGATCGCCTCACAGCAAGAAGGTCGCTGGTTCGAGCCTCGGCTGGGTCAGTTAACGTTTCTGTGTGGAGTTTGCATGTTCTCCCTGTGTTTGCGTGGGTTTCCTCTAAGTGCTCCGGTTTCCCGCACAAGTCCAAAGACATGCGCTATTGGTGAATTGGGTAAGCTAAATTGTCTGTAGTGTATATCTGTGAATGAGTGTGTGAATGAGTGAGTGTGTGTGTGTGTGTGTGTGTGTGTGTGTGTGTGTGTGTGTGTGTGTGTGTGTGTGTGTGTGTGTGTGTGTGTGTGTGTGTGTGTGTGTGTGTGTGTGTGTGTGTGTTTTCCATAGATGAGTTGCAGCTGGAAGGGCATCCGCTGCGTAAAACATCGCTGGATAAGTTGGCAGTTCATTCCGCTGTGGCGACCTCCAGATTATTAATGGGGCTAAGCCAAAAAGAAACTGAATGAATTAATGAATGAATAATACTATTATAATAATGTAATGTTATGTAATAATGATAATAATAATATTACAAAATAAAATGCCCATTGTGGAACAGTCCAGCAGTCACATTTATAAAAAATATATATATTTATTATTTTTAGGTGTAGATTCATTTAAGGTGAACTAATCATCTAAAATATAGAGATTGCATTCATTTAAAATGTCGAAAAGAAGATTGAGTGATATAAATTAAACAGCAATATAAATAAATATTAAATAAAAGTTGTAAGGGTGCATTACTTGCTGGAATTTCTTAGGCCCCCAAAATTACTAAATCCACCCCTGATGTTAAAAAATGTCAAGTGGAGACCTGAAGCTCTGAGTGATGTCTATCAAACATCAGGGGACCTTCGTAGACTGCACTGACACTGAAACACAGTGAAACACACAGGTCTCCTCTTGGTCAACGTTCTAAAAACGTCTCCAGGGGCCTTTTCACTTGATTTTAACATGATTTAAGGCACCTGAAAAATGTCCCCTTTTGGCTCCCGGTTCCTTCTTAGTGGTTGTGTAACAAAACCACAGTCACCACTTAGAGGTAGGCAAATCACACACACACACAAAGAAATATTTACTGCAAAGTCGCAATGCCTAAAAGAAATGTCATTTTGGCAAAGCAGCACAAAGATATAGTTCAAGTTTTAAGTGCTGTTAGTTCTGCGTAAATGCGGTTGTCATGACACTCGGCATCACCTTTGCACCATAAAGCTGCTACAAATGCAAAACCGATAACCAATCATTATGCAAATGATTCAATATTTAAATAGAGCATATTTCAACACCAAATCAGTTGCATTAACTTTGATAGTTGGCCTTCAGAAGCCAAATCCAGAATGTTCGCAGAATATTAATATACCTTGCAAGAATAATGCGCGTGAGGTGCAACGCAGCTGGAGCTGAAGCCGGCACCTGTTGCATCACGATTGATTTTACATTGTTTCTGCCGGAGCATTAATGACGCTGAGTGTTGATGCATTGCGAATTGAACTCAATCAGCGACACAATACTGCAGCATAAACACCCTGGCCTTCATCTGACCTCAGTGAGCGTGTGTGAGAGATTTAGGAGAAACTCCATTGCGCATCATGTCCTCATATGAACTGTCATGTTGGATGATGATAAAGACGCATTATGAACGCGTTATGTCGTGCGCGTTCACACTGTTTCGGTGAGCTGTTCTTTCAGCACCACGGCGTACAGCGCACGACACAAAACTTCCATACAGTCACTGCTACACTGTAGTCCACTGTAACAACCGTGGTACAGCAAACACACATTTGAAGTAATATTGCCAGCGTTATGCAACATCATGCACAGAAGCGGATGCACATTGAAGACTATGAAGATTTCAAGAAATTTAAATGAACAAACTAATTAAAGATTGCATGAAGCCATGCTTACTATTCGTTAAAGACGCGTATACCCATATTGACAAAACGTCATCCCATTTGTGGGTTTGAATTAACGGAGTTAGCGTAAAAGTGTGGGATTCAACAGATTAGAAATGCACTTGAGTGCCAACAGAACCTTCGTGACTCATAAACTACAGGCCTGGCATAGTTATTTATGTAGTTATAGTGAATCCAGAAAACATTATGCAACAAATGTCACACCTGTGGTGCGCTAATAACTGTGATTTTCCGCGCATTAAGAGCTAATAACGTGCCTTCATCTCATCTCAGACAAACCCAACAGTCTGCACTTTTCCTCAGGCTCAAATGATTAACCAGACACCCCACGCGTGTCCGTCACGCTCCACAAAGTGCTTAAAGAATGAAAAAGCACTCATTTATATTCAAACAAAGCGCTTTGGGAGTCTTTTCTCACACTGAGAAACTCACCTATAGTGGTTATGACAGTGATGGCAAAGTAAAACGAGCCTGCAAATTTCCACTGGACCCCTGCTCTGTGCGGCTCGGCCTCCATGATGATGGTCTGCAGCTTTTTATAGTCATCCTCACTGATGTTGTACTTGCCCTGGAGGCGCTTCTCCTCCGCCTCCAGCTGCTCCTTCTCCCGCATCTCGAAGTCCGACTCGAGCGCGTCAAACACCGCGGCCCCGACCAGCAGATAGGTGAACGTGCAGACGATCAGGGACAGCGTCCGCACGTTCTGCCTCTTCATGGCCACCAGGAACCGGCGGCTGAGGGGTTCATGTCCCCTCTTATCCCCCGGGAAGGCGCAGCAGCAGTCTGGAAAGGGCGGATAGGGGCAGTGTTGCTGCCGATGCGTCTTCGGACACCGGTTGCGGCTGTAACAGGTCCCTTGGTCGTGCTCCTGGCTGTTGGAGAGACACAGCAGACTGCTGGAGCGCCGGGACCACAAGCCCTGCAGCCGCGAAACTCTGCGCAAAACCTGCCCGAACCACAGCAAAGTCCTCCCGGCGCGCAGTGCCATCAACTAGCGCGCTCCCCGGGTGATCTCCAAAGAGCTTCTGAACTGAATAAAGCGCCAGAAGCCGCTGGGATTCATGCTCGAGTGACAATTACGCACCTGTTAAATTTCCTCCGCCGCTGCGTTCAAACAAACTCCATCAGATATCCAAACGGCTCCCCTGAACATCTTCTGGAGAAAGAAAAAAAAAAGTTTCCCCCAACCTGTTCATCTGAGGATCATCTTCAGCTGTTCTCACTCCGCCGGTGCGTGAGTAATGCCGACGGTACCGGAGGAGGACCCGTGAACACGCAGCAGCATCATCTGATGATCGGCGGAGACGCGCAGCGCACGACTGATGATCCAAACGTGATCCGACCCAGGAGAAGCTCACTTATTCCCGAGGCTTCGGCGAGACGCTGAGATTAATGCGCTTTACGGCTACGCGAACAACAGGTCCGAGCGCGAACGTGTCCATCTGTTTCCCCGGTGATACATTGGAGGTGACGGATGGATGGACTCGACTCTCGTTTGGCTCCGCTCCTAGCAAAGCTGCACTGTCACGGTATGCCACCGCGAGCGACCGCTGGCAGACTTCAGTGTGTGCCAGTCTGAGAAAACACACGCAGACACGCACGCATCACCAAAGCGCACACACAGATGGAGACACTCAACAGTAAAGGCGTACTGAGAGCGTGTGTGCGCGCGCGCACGTGTGTGCATTACGATCTCAGCTTGAAATACTTGATGTAATTTGCACATTCTCAACAGGTAACCTCAGAAAAATAACGAGAGAATTCAGCTGGGGTTTACTCTCTAAAGGTAAATCATGTTGGGCAGCTGTTCGTAAATGCGCTCAGGATATAATTTCATGAAAATGCGCATAAAGCATTCGCTAAAGCTCAGAAACACCCTCAACCTCAGCGTGTTAATGGACAGAGAACACCACTAGTGCAAAGTGTGTGTGTGATAGAGAGAGGGAAAGTCATTTTATTACACTTATTAACATTTTATTATATAACGAGGCATAACAAGAAATATATAAAAAATAAAATAGTGTGCGCGGTGAGGCTGAGCAGGAGCGAGTACTATATATAAAATTAGCATAGTTATTACAGAAAATACAACTTCACCTTGCAAATCTCATTTAATACCTTGTTACTATTCCTGTGTGAAGCGTTTGCGTGAGCGCGTGTTACGCATGAGAGAATGCGCCACGCAGCAGCCAGAGTTAAATATTAGTTAACCAGAGGAGAAAGTGTGAACATTATTATCTTCCAACGCTTCTAACGTGAATGGGAGGACTATTCCAGTTAATAAATATTTAACAGCTTCCCCCGACCAGACATTCTTCAACACATTTCAGCGTTTCAGTTACAATGCACCTTGACTTTCGTCTGATTTTATAGTCTCATGTAAAACAGGACACGTTTAATGCATCTGGACATTAAGAACAAGCTCATTGAACACATAAAAGGATAACTGTACCTTCAACACAGCATTAGAACCTTCTGAGTTCAGTTTCTGTAAGGTATCTGGGACTAAAATAACTAGTGTGCTGGACACCGTGGAGTATTTTAGTAGATAAATGTAGGTCCTGTCCCAATATTTGAGCTGTGTCCCGGTGAAAGCGACAAAAAGTGGAGATTCAAAGTAAAAACAATGTAGATAAATTAAACTCACTCTATTAACATCTCACTCATTCATTTACTATGCCTCTCATTCTCCCGCTCTTCGCTGATGGAATAAAGGGTCAAATCAAACGTTACCATGGGCCAACTTTGACCTGCGGGCCCTTGTTTGGGCGTCTCTGCTCTAAATAAAACAGCATATATATTTAAGTATCAATATATATATATTAAGCAGCTCAACTCCTTGTTCAAGCTCTTGTTCTCTCCAGACTGGACTATTGCAACTCTCTACTAGCCGGGCCTCCAGCTACTTCTATCAAACCTCTTCAGATGCTTCAGAACGCAGCAGCAGGAGTGGTCTACAATGAACCTAAAAGAGCACATGTCACTCCGCTGCTCATCCGTTTGCACTGGCTGCCAGTTGCTGCTCGCATCAAATTCAAAGCTCTGATGTTTGCTTACAAAGCGATTTCTGGCTTTGCTCTTTCTTATCTGCTCTCACTTCTGCAGCTCTATGTGCCCTCCAGAAACTTGCGTTCTGTGAATGAACGTCGCCTCGTGGTTCCATCCCAAAGAGGGAAGAAATCACTTTCCCGAACGCTCGCGTTCAATCTGCCCAGTTGGTGGAATGAACTCCCTAACAGCATCAGAACAGCAGAGTCACTCGCTGTCTTTAAGAAACGACTAAAAACTCAACTATTTAGTCTCCACTTCACTTCCTAATCTGCAATTGCCTCTCTGGCTCACCCGCTATCTCTCTTACAAAAAAATTAATTAAAAAATAAAAAAAAATACTAATGTTTTGCTTCTTACACTTTAAATCCCTGAAATTTGCCTACAGCACTTATTCATTGTTGCTCTTATAGTTGTGTAAATTGCTTCCTTGTCCTCAATTGTACGTCGCTTTGGATAAAAGCGTCTGCTAAATGATTAAATGTAAATGTAAATATTCATACCTTGTTGTGTTTCATGTTTGGTTAATGGCAAACACACCGCATTTTAGGTTATTAACTGGAGATCCCCCTTCACCAGCTGTCAAAACCCCATCGAACACAACACCTCCAGAATGCAGTTTGTGTATGTATTTCTCTTCCTCGATAAGGAATAGATTGTTGCTGCATAAAAGAAAGCAAATATCATGCTGAATAAATAACATTATTAATTTTATTGATGAACCATCCCTTTAATACACAATGTATACCCTAACTTTCAAAATAATTAGGTGGTTAGAAAAGAGCAGTCATGCATACATTTCTAAGAGTATCTAAGAGTACAGGTAGTTTTTCTGCTTACAAAAAAGGTTTGTGTTATGCGTTGCATGAAAACTACCTTACTGGCCAGTAGCTATGCAAACCAATTAGCATGCAACTACTGAATTGTCTAGTTCATTCATTCATTTTCTTTTCTCTCATTCACACACATACACTATGGACAATTTAGTTTACCCAGTTCACCTGTCATGCATGTCTTTGGACTTGTGGGGGAAACCAGAGCACCTGGAGGAAACCCACGCCAATACAGGGAGAACATGCAAACTCCACACAGAAACGCTAACTGACCTAGCCGAGGCTCAAACCAATGACCTTCTTGCTGTGTGGGGATAGTGCTACCCACTCCGCCACCGTGGCGCCCTGAATTAGCTAGTTTTAAATTTTAATTACCTGCTAATTTAAAGTTTATGAGTTTGTTTATTCAAATATTTTCAATAAGGCCAATTAAAATGAACCCAAAATACAAATTTAGCATATATGTTCTGCTTGAGCTCAATTGGTTTTGGTTAATTGAACTAGCTGCATGTAGCTTTAGAATATTTGTTTTTGAGTTTGAGTTCTGCTAAATTATTCTGTTGTGAATCTCTGTGAACTACAACAGAAATAATGTCCAGTATAGTATATAAAGTCACGCTGCAGTGGAAAAACAGTTAAAATTGTGCATGACTTCATCATGAGCTTGGAGGACTGCATCCATACATCTCTGCACTGACTCAAATCACTTATAAAGTCTTCTGGAATGCCAAAGAAAGCGTTCTTGCAGGACTCCAAGAGTTCATCAGGATTCTTTGGATTCATCTTCAATGCCCTCTCCATCATCTTACCCCAGACATGCTCAATAATGTTCATGTTTGGTGACTGGGCTGGCCAATCCTGGAGGACCTTCTTTGCTTTCAGGAACTTTGATGTGGAGGCTGAAGTATGAGAAGGAGCGCTATCCTGCTGGAGAATTTGCCCTCTCCTGTGGTTTGTAATGTTATGGGCAGCACAATTGTCTTGATACCTCAGGCTGTTGATACTGAATGTAACCCAAAACATGACTTTTCCTTTACCGAACTTGACTAATTTCTGTGAGAATCTTGGGTCCATGCTGGTTCCAGTAGGTTTTCTGCAGTATTTGTGATGATTGGGATGCAGATCAACAGATGATTCATCAGAAAAATTCACCTTCTGCCACTTTTTCAAATAATCAACTAGAAGTCGAGGGTAACGCTTTACAATAGGGTTCATTAGTTAATGCATTTACTAACATGAACTAATCATGAACAACACATGTACAGCATTTATTAATCATAATTGAACATTTACTAATGCATTATTAACATTCAAGTCTATGCTTGTTAACATTAGTTAATGCACCATGATTTAACATGAACTAACAATGAACTACTGTATTTTCATTAACTAACGTTAACTAACATGAACAAATACTGTAGTAAATGTATTGTTCATTGTTTTTTCATGTTAGTAAATGTATTAATTAACTTTAACTAATGAACCTTAATGTAAAGTGTGACCAAGTCGAGTTATTATTTGTTGCTCTTACAACTGGGATCGACGACAAGACTTTGTCAGGTAGTCTTTATTTAAATGTATTAATTCATACCATTTTCAGTGCCTCACGGCACGCGCTCAGTGATTATCTCTCAGTGATTATTTAATCACTCTCCGTCTAGTTACCAGACCTAATCTGCATCAAAATAAGCAAACACAAGCTGCATATCAACATTCATACCGTATGCTGAGAATCTGAGCGAATGCAGCACTATCAAACATGAATAATCGTCTGGTAAACACGCGGAGAGATGCGAGCAGACGCTGACGCTCGGCATCTAAACACAGCCACAGC